AGTATTTAATTTATATCCGTACATGAAGAGCGTATCAGCTACTAAGCTGATGAGAATTAATGATACATTTTGTTCTTTGTCAGTTGGTTGAGAAGCGATAGTAAAATAAAATTAACCAACATTTTTATCATTTTTAAACTAATAAAAATTTGACTTTATTAAGTGGATAAAAATTGAAGATATTCAAAACATGATTCTTGACTTTCACCATGCAACATTTCAAAAAGTAAAGAAGTAGAAATTTTTTTTATTGTTCTTTTTCCATATTTTTCGTAGACAAATATGTAAGAAAATATTTTTACTACATTGTGACAATCGATAAGGCTCAAAACTCCATAGTTTCACTTTCGAAACATGATATCTCGAAAAGTAAGCGGAATAGACTGTTACGGGGTGGATCACGCGGATTGACGAGGCGGAGTCCCTCCACTTCGACCGGGCCTGGGTTGCCCGGATACCCAACGGTGACACTCCCTGTAATATATTTTNTGATCCTTACGCAACAGCCTGTTGATCGGTTCTACTACCGTCAAATAGTTTGGCAGGAACTTCCGGTACCATGAAACCATGCCTAGGAACCGCCTAAGTTGTTTCAGATTCTTTGGAGCCGGAAACGCCGTAATTGGTTTTAATTTAGCCGGATCCGGTCGTAAACCATCTCGGTTTACGAGGACGCCAAGGTATTTCACCTCGGGTTGACAGAACTCACTCTTTCCTCGGTTATGGGTGAGTCGGGCTTCGCGCACGCGTTTCGGCACATGCTCTAGCCACTTGAGATGCTCCTCGAATGTCTCTGTGACAATTATTATGTCATCGAGATAGGCATAGGCATAGGGCTCGAGCTCCGGCCCCATGACGCTGTCGATTAGCCGCTGAAACGTCGCCGGCGCATTACTCAGGCCAAACGGTAGCCGTCAGAACTGAAAGAGCCCCTTGCCTGGTACGGTGAATGCTGTCACCGGCTTAGCCTTCTCGGCTGGTGGTATCTGGTGGTACGCGCTGCTGAGATCAAGGGTCGAAATAAAACGTGCTTTCCTCAGCTTGCGCAGAATGGTATCCATATGTGGCAGTGGATACGCGTCGGGTGCTGTTACCACGTTTACCTTCCAGTAATCGACGCAAAACCGATACTTGCCATCCTTCTTGCGTATCATGACCACAGGGCTTGCCCAGCCACTATTGGATGGCTCAATCACGTCACTTTCGAGCATGTCACTCACGTGTGCGTGGATTACCTCCTGGATCTTATCCGATATCGAGTAGCACTTCTGCTTGATGGGTCGCGAGCTCGTGACCTCAATCTCGTGCTCGACCCACGTAGTGCAACCTAAAGGAGCTTCACACTCCACGTAGCGGTCCAAGAGGGTCTGTAATTCCTCTTGTTGGGTGGACGAGATTTCGTCCAGTCCAACGGCAGCGAGTCAGACCTCACCGGTCATCGTCACCCCCGCTACCTCTAGAGGAACCTTGGTACCTGGTCCTTTTAGTACCAGGACTCTATCAACAGGATCATGGACGGTGCCAAAAGCGTTGATAAAGTTAGCCCCGACGTAGCAGTCGGCGTCTAACTTGGGTAACACTATGACGTCTACGTCCCGTTTCACCCCTCCCAACTCGAAGGGTAGGGTGACGAAGCCTAAGGTGCGTGACGGTCGCCCGTCGGCCATAGCCGCGCTTCCTAGCGTGGGGCGTAGTTGCCGACGACAGGAATTGGCTATCTGGAGCCCGACTGTTCGCATGACCGTGTGCGTAGCGCCAGGGTCGTATAGCGCTCGCAGCTTGTACCCGGCTACTTCCAACTGTAGCCACCACCGGCGCGCGTCCTCCGATGTAACCGCGGCCTGTGAGGGTTCGGGAGAGGAAGGCGGCGTACTACCCTCGTTTACGACTGCCTCCTCTCGTTTCCCTGCCTCTTATTAGGGCAGTCCCGCACATAGTGGCCTAGGTGATTACACCCGTAGCAACGTGGCGGTGACTCCTGCGAGGGAGACCTGTCTCTCTGGTTGTCAGACTTTTTCGTGCCTGACCCCTCGTTCGGGTTTTGCCTCGGTGAGCGTGAGCCCGAATCTCGGCGTCTATTTGCCTTGGGCGAAGGAGGCGTGGGTGAACGTCGCCCCCGTTGACGGGGCCCGTTTGGAGCGCGAGAACTCTGCTTTGGCTCATTAGCATATTTAGCCAGGCCTGTTCGACGCTTCTCGACGTAGAGAAGGTCAAGCAGCAGCTTCAGCATGTTTTCGTCCAATTCCGGTTTTCTGACCTTTTTCTTGGTCAGCTCATCGACTATTTCTGCCGAGTATTCATCCATCACGTCGAACCCCGCAATTTTTGGAGGATTAGCCAGTTTCTTTGGCAGCTCCTCAATTGCCTTTCGAAGGGCAGCTTGCTCGTTCCGGATAGCCGCAATTTCCTGTACGCTAGCGTTCAAAGGTTGGGCTTCGCTTATACCCGCAACCCTGGGCTGTTTCTTGGCCTCAGTAGCCTTAGCCTTGGGCTTGTATGCCGGTTCTGGCAAGTAGAAATGTTCCGGTGGGGGTGGCTCACGGAATGCACTCCTGAGTTCCAAGAGGCGTTCAGCCTCAGTGGCCCTTCGCAGCAGATCTGCCATGCTGTGAACCTCGTCTCGTCGGACTCGATCCTGTAACTCAGGACGCATATTCCTGTGGAATAGGTCCAACTGACGTTCTACCGGCCATGGAGGTTGAATTCGCCGCACGATATTCTTAATCTGCGTTAAGAAATTTCGTATGGGCTCACCAGCGTACTGGGTACGCATTTGCGCATCCGAGATCAGGCGGCGTTGCACTTCTTCGCCTGAGCCATACCACTCCTGTCCTGCGGCTACAAAATCAGCCCAGCTGATCCACTGGTCGCATTCGTTGCGAAACCACGTCGCTGCGATGCCAGTCATAAGCTCTGGCAGAGCTTGGAAAAGCTCTGCTTCTGTAAGCCCCGAAGTTGTGCAGCACTTCGTAATGCGCGTAAGGAAGGTGTCAAAGTTGTCGTGACTTTCCCCCGTGAACTTTACGTTCCATCGACGGACAATTTGTCCTAAATCACGGCATCCGGGGTCGGCGTATGACCTACCTAACCCCGACTGTCTTTCCGCCGAGGGCGGGAGACTCCCCCCCGACCAGGCTGAACGTGTGGGGTCAACCGGTGCAGCCGTATGTGGGGGTAGGTATGGGTACGTCGGGCGTGTTGACGAGCTCACCGTATATGTCTGGGGCCACGTCGTAAACGCTTGTGACTGCGTTGTTCGAGCAGGTGGTGCTGTTGAGTACCCACTCCTTTGCGGATAGCTTACCGAAGACGTATATGCGCTAGTTGCTGCGCATGATGGGCATATCGCTTGTATCCAGCTGACTGTATTTGATGGCCATACATGTCTCATTGTCGTGGGTGGCGGTGGCGCTATGATGTGTGCCAACGCCGACGCTAAGTCAACGTTGTAATGGCCGTTTCCAAATGGTGTGCCCTGTGGTCCTGTGATATTCGCAAACGCTTGTTCGCCAACTATAGTTTCGCGCCTTTTCGCCGGCACGTTTTCGTTTGTGGATGTCACATTTCTCCTTTGTGGCTGATTCTGGTTCGATGTGATAGCCGAACTTATTCGCGTTAAGTTCGCGATCTTTTCATTGGCTTTTAATAGCCTATCTGCAGCCATCTGTTCTTCCTTTCGAGAGCTTGCTCTGACTGAGTTGCTCTACTTTCGTCCGAGTTCCTGACAAGCGAGGACGTATTGATGAGGAGCTCATCTTTATTTGTCCCCAATGCCTGGATATCCGGAGTTTCGACCTGCGTGGCTATCATTGCCGCCGTCGTTGTAATTTTGAGGAGGTTGTTTACCTCCTCACTGTCCCGCACTATTTGTAGCGGGTGCACGGCTTCGACGTCACTTTCGTCATCGTTTGCTTTTGTAAACTCCTCGCAGGCCTGTGTGACCATGAGATGACGCGCTTTTACACGTCGCTCAAGGGCTGCGTCGACGTTTCCCGACGGTTCAAAATTCTCGGGGACGTATCTCCCCGTCAGCCACTGGTAAAGGCTGTGTGATCTGGTTGCTTTACTGCCAGTCGTTAGCAACTCGAGATTTTCTAAAAAATCGATTCCTAGGTCTTCTTTTATTAACGACCTGCACTGCAGAAATCGATCAGTTTATCCTCTTGATCCTGTGGTAGCGATGCCATGGTCTTAAATGAAATGATTCGCACTATACAAAAAAACTACCGGCAGTAAGTGCACTGTGCCGCAGCGCAGAGATTAGCTTGGGAGGAGAGAGTTGACGGTTAGGGAGAATTTGCGCCAAGGCGTTAGCTGGACGCAATTTTTCTGCCTAAAATGCCTTGAGGCTTTAAATTAAAATTTTAATTTATTATAGCTTATATTTAAAGCTATCAGCTGTAGGGAGTCAATTCCCTCAACTCTCTCTTTTGCGTGTGTATATGTGTGTGGTACAGTTGTAAATACAGTTATGTATAGTGTACCTGCACACGTACACTACTGCTTTGCGCACTACAAGCCGCGAGAAGCTAACAGCCGTGTATATATGTATACCGGTGTATACTATGCCGTATATGCGCTGTGTCAGCGTACACCGCCTGTGAAAATCCGATTTCACAGGCAAGGCTCGTTAGCTATTGAAAATAATATTTCGTCTCGAAATATTATTTTCTTTCTCGCTCGCACTTGTGAACAAAAATTTTGAGTGCTGGAAGTCAGCAACGACTCAAAATTGTCACGTAAACAAAGCCGCTGCTTTGTTTACACGCGCGACCTATACGAGTCTGCCGGTGTCTCTCGTGTGTGTTATACGCGTTCTCCGCGTTATACCC